GCAGTCGCACTTCCACAGATCTCCAGTATCAGCTCTTGATACTGGTAATGGCTTAAAAGGGCCACCACTTACGGGCTATTCATGCCCGTGCCACCTTTTGGCTGGCTTAATCTTCATCAATCAATCACTGAAGCCTGTAATGGGCACTTAGCCAATTCTCTGTCAACCTCAAAATTAATCGGAATGTCTCTAGGGAGATCAGGAAAATTTAGTGTTAAGAGTAAAAATCTGAAAATCTGCCATACTGATGGACTCACAAATAAGGCGAATGAACTGAATGAGTTTCAGACACAGATCCCAAAGTAATAGCAATAGTGGAAACTAAGCCAACAGAAATGCTGATAAATGCAATAAGTCCTATGCAGTTCCCAAAGGGCGAGAGCATCGTTTGTGATAATGGGAGACCCCAATTAAGAAACCATTAACTGTGAAAGGACACAACCGCACGGAGAAGAGACTAGAGGGGGGAAAGGCAGGGAAGGTAATAGAGGAACTATTACCTAATGCCAAGAGAGAAAACAGGAAGAGATGATTTCGTGGCAGGAAGACAGCGGCTGGTGCTCACGTAACAAGAAGCGCAGATCACAAACTTGGTGCATGAAATGCCACTGGCAGCGAGCCACTACTGTCTACTGCTTTTTAACATAATACTAAAATAATAACCAAGACTAGGCTACGGTGAGTAACGCAGTATAACTAGTGAGTTAAGGAGCTATGACCGTGATTATGGTGAGTAACGCAGTATAACTAGTGAGTTAAGGAGCTATGACCGTGATTATGGTGAGTAATTAGTCGGTAGCATGAGGAACCAGTCAATGAGTATGGTGAATAAAGTCAGTAAGATGATGAACCAGACAATAGGTTAAAAAAAACTAGTCAGTAAAGTAGGCTTGGTGAGTGAGTTGTTTAGGGAAGTGCTGGCAAGTGTCGATGCCCCTACCCATGGGTAGGTGGTGGGTGGGGAAGAACAGGTGCCCCGTAAGGTGGCACCCACTACCACCAATCATCTCATTCAACCACCTGTTCACTCACACCTTTACTCACCTCCACCAATTCACGCTACGCACAAAACTCACTCACACTCCTCTCGCTCAGTCATCCGGATCTACTCCATTATAACCGCGTTTTGTTATCACTATTAATATTACTACTTGCAACGTGTGCATTAAATCAATTAATGACAGCAAACTCCAATTGTTGAAGTCAACTTTGACCTTGCATGAGGCTGGAGAGAGAGAGAGAGTTGACCTCCAACATTACTTTCCCACTCCCAACACCATCAAGTCTCTTACCCATCCCATATACCATCACATCTCATAGTTCTAGAGTCCCCCCCCTGGGACTCTACTACTCTAAAGAGCCAACTACCCACGCCATCATCCCAATACCTACCACGCATCCATCAAATGAATTCTCGATACATCCGCTCCTCCACTATACACTCTATACACTTCACTATACACTCCACTATACACTATACGATACACTCCACTCATCCACTAATAGTCTCGTTTGTTGAGGTTCTGGCATTCAATGTTGCACAAGCAGTCTACTGTGCAAAGCAACGGTTCGCAAATATCGACGTATTCTGTGCATCGGACTCTATGGGTTAGGTTTGTGCTGTCCTGGTTAGGTTAGGAGGCTGGATTTTTGACGGAGTGGAGCATCAAGTCCACCAGTGTCACTACTGCTCTCCCTCACACACACACACACACACACACACACACACACACACACACACACACATGATAGAGCCCAATAGGCTCAGGAATCTGTACACCTGTTGATTGACGGTTGAGAGGCGGGACCAAAGAGCCAGAGATCAACCCCCGCAAATACAACTAGGTGAGCACACACACACACACACACACACACACACACACACACACACACACACACACACACACACACACACACACACACACACACCACAATGCTCGTCACAATATACATGTGACAATACACCACATGTGTTTAACAATACACAAGTGCCACCTTCCTCCCACCAACATCCTCACTACTTAACACGCTGCCTAATTAATGCCATTATAATACAACTACTACGAAGTGACCATTGTATCCCTTTGTATATCCTATCAATTATTTTCTTGTATTAATCATAAACCTACACTTGTGTATTTGTGAAATTTTTCTAAGGCATTTACACCATTTGGTGTAAATTCTTTACAGAAATTTTACAAATAAACAAGTGTGGGTTTCTATCCTGTTATCATGTCTGTCAGAAGACATTATCATTACTTATTATTATTATTATTAATTATTATTATTATTATTATTATTATTATTATTATTATTATTATTATTATTATTATTATTATTATTACAAGTACCACAAGGGTCCTCGTAGCCTGGTGGATAGCGCGCAGGACTCGTAATTCTGTGGTGCGGGTTCGATTCCCGCACGAGGCAGAAACAAATGGGCAAAGTTTCTTTCACCCTGAATGCCCCTGTTACCTAGCAGTAAATAGGTACCTGGGAGTTAGTCAGCTGTCACGGGCTGCTTCCTGGGGGTGGAGGCCTGGTCGAGGACCGGGCCGCGGGGACACTAAAGCCCCGAAATCATCTCAAGATAACCTCAAGATAACAACTCCCGCCACCACAACAGAGCCGGATAATTGCACCACACTTCCCTTGAAATTGCACTGTACAACATTACTCAACATCTTGACGAAATAAGCGAACCTCCTCGTCACCCCTTAACCCGAGGCCACTGTACACTACTTATTATTATTAACATCTTTATTGACAAAATTAATTACAATTTTGCCTAATCTGAGGATTTCAAGTCTTATTAAAGTGAGGATAATGCTGGTATTCACTGTCACGCAGGACAGAGGGTCATACATAAGATAATAGGTCTAAACTGTAGGTTATCTTGAGGTTATCTTGAGATGATTTCGGGGCTTTTAGTGTCCCCGCGGCCCGGTCCTCGACCAGGCCTCCACCCCCAGGAAGCAGCCCGTGACAGCTGACTAACACCCAGGTACCTATTTTACTGCTAGGTAACAGGGTATTAAATCTTGTAGGCTGGAGCACATATATATCATGGTTACAATCAATGTTTTAATGTATGGATATGTGAAAACAACTTTCAATTGTGCACTGCCACACAAGGGCAGGGATGGGTTCATACGTGATGCACCTTAGAAGTAATATAAATAAAATTGTTCTTCATTAAGTGAAAGAATTGTCACAGCAGTATGTGATGGGGGCAGTATCTTCCCACGACCCTCCTGACACCACACACATGACAACACAAGCCTCCTGCCTAACCTGAACGTCTCATCTAACACCAAGTTACTAAATTTAAATTTTCAATTTTGCCCCGAGGGGCGAGTTTATTGGGCAGCGCCACTCATCCTGTGAGTGGACACACCGCCATAGTGACAGTATTGGGCAGCGCCACTCATCCTGTGAGTGGACACACCGCCATAGTGACAGTATTGGGCAGCGCCACTCATCCTGTGAGTGGACACACCGCCATAGTGACAGTATTGGGCAGCGCCACTCATCCTGTGAGTGGACACACCGCCATAGTGACAGTATTGGGCAGCGCCACTCATCCTGTGAGTGGACACACCGCCATAGCAGCATGTACAACACTCCCCAATAGGAAGAAAACCCGCTGGGTTGTTCATCCGTGTAGAAAATTACTGTTGCTTGTTTACCTGTCCAGCGAACTCGCAAGATTACCCATGTTATTCCTTGCAACAGATCTTATCGACGGATGGCTCCACCCACAACCGAGATAGCTATACATTATATAATGTCAACATGACACATGATAACTGGCTACTCAGCGAGCACTGTCATATGCGTCACCATACCGTAAACATGTCCACTACACCACACCGTAACCATGACAACTAACTCCTCAGTATATGAGTATAACGAGAGTATAATGCACTCAGATCCACATGAATACGTGACCCCAAACTTTCTTATCCCGCAGGAAGATAACATGATAACATACAAATGTTTTCAACAGTGTTTGTTCCTCTTGTTTGGAAGAGGAAACGGAAGAGAGGCAGGGAAAGGGGGACTAGGATGGGAAGGTAGGAACAGGAAGGAGAGGCAGAATTGCTATTCATGCACAAAAGTGGTCATTCATTTCTACATTGTTAATTAGCATACACAGTAAACATGTCCTTGTCTCCTCACATGACGGGGCTAAAGATATGTTAGACAACATGCAGTAAAGTGGACCATTGAACACTCAACCAAAGCTGAAAAGTTTTTTACAATGTTAACCATCATATTATATATATATATATATATATATATATATATATATATATATATATATATATATATATATATATATATATATATATATATATATATATATATATATATATAGGGATCTCAATGTCTGTCCTACATGGAGGGTTAGACATCTATCACACAGAGTTATTGATCGGTCATCCACAGAAAGTACTAAAAGTACTTTTCTTAAAAGTACTTGTACAACCTCGAGTTAAATTAAACATGACACACACACATGCGTTACATAATTGTCGCACTACATAGTGCTGTAAATCTACCTTGAGGTTACCTTGAGGTGCTTCCGGGGCTTAGCGTCCCCGCGGCCCGGTCGTCGACCAGGCCTCCAAGGTACTAAGGTGCAGATCCAGTTTAGTATTAGGTGTGTCAGTCGTCAGACAACATTGAACAGATTATGTCTCTGAGTATCTCTCAAGAGTATCTCTTGAAAGATACTCGATAAAAGATAAAGATACTAGCAAGAGTATCTGTCATCCATGAGCGGGGGGGGGGGGGGTGTAACAGGTCAGTCAATATAACACGTGCTATACGGCAATGCATGTGTTGTCTTTCATAGAGTTTACACACATGCCGTATTCCACACTTGAATTTTGGGATAGCTGCCAGATACGTCCGCACCTTGAGGCAGGATACGAGGACGGTGGGGGGGAGGGGGGATAGGAGGTAGAGGAGGGGGGGTATAAGTGTAGACTAACCTGTGAGGAGCGAGGACAGGCGCGGTAAAACACCGAGGACGACGAGGAGAATAGATCAAGTGCCACTCTGAACATCCTCAGCTGATGGTTCCTCGTCGCTCGCACTCACACACTTCAACACACCCTTACCCTGCCCCGCCGCACATCTCCACGCACTCCCACACACAGACACACTCAAGTGTGCTCGTGTTCCACACAGCCTCCTCGTCGCTATCACTTGTGCCGTGTACCTGCACTCTATGTAGAGCCGCTACTACTCCGGGGCACAGCGTCCGCGCTGCCTCTACCCTGCACACCGCTCACACACATGTCGCTAAAGATGACTTTGTGGTATTGTGGCAGGTGTGTGTGTGGGGAGGGGAGGTGAAGCTAGCGCGTGGCGTCGGTGTAGGGCAGATGTCAGCACTGAGGTACACGAGTATGTGGTGGTGGTGAGCTGCCTCCCTCTCTCCCTCCCTCTCTCTCTCTCACCCCCTCCCTCCCAGCCTACACCAGGAGCCCCCGCTACAACACCCCCCCAGGGGGGTCACGTGGGAGGCCTACTACTCTCCAGGCGGCTCCCACACCTCTATGTCGTGCAGGTGTGGGCCAGGGAGACGGTGCCACAGGTGTGGAGGGCGGCAGGGGGCCGGGAGAGTGTCAAAATCGTACAGGTGTGGGCACGGGTGAGTCAAGCCGCCCCCCCTCCTCCCAACCCGTCCTCTCCTGGTTGCTACGGCGGCCACCTGATGCCCTCCCGCCCACGCCCACACGCCCACGCCCACACACTACGCCTCATATCCACATACACCCCCCTCCCTCCCCCCTCATACTCTACCCGACACCCTGCGACCGGTGTCATATGTCACATCCTCTTACATAGGACTGAAAGATTATTGGACACCTGTCCCTAGGAACCCCACTCTTCGCCTGCTGCTAGGAACCCCCCACTCCACACCTGTTCCTAGGAACACCCCCCCCCCCTCCACACCTGCCCCTGCTAGTGCACCATTATCCCACCCACTCACACCTCCCCCCCCTCACCCCCCAAAACGGGACCCCACACCCACGCTCGCCCACACACCACCAATCAGCCATTGCTAGCAACACATCCGCTCAGGTAACTACCATTATGAAGCCAGCCATCTACCATATACCAATACCACATGACCCGGGCACCAGGACGTCTCCCATCATTAAGATTTTACAAAGTCATCTGATAAGAGTGACCATTTTATGTGCTCCAAGAGTGACCCTAAGAGTGAGCTTGGAGACCATTAAATGAGAGCAACAGTAATAGGGAGTAAACTATGGCGTTGGATTTTCAAATTCCTGTCAAACAGAAGGCAAAGGGCATCCATCAAAGAAGATCAAGTCCAAGTACAGTGAAGAGCTGTGTACCTCAGGGCACAGTCCTTGCACCACTGCTCTCTCTCATTGTTATATCAGATATAGACAGAAATACTAGTCACAGCTTCGTGTCCTCCTTTGGACGCGATACAAAAATTAGCATGGAAATTCCTTCTGTAGAAGACACTGAAAACTATAGTCCGATATTAATAAAGGCTTCGATCGGGCAACGGAAAATAATATGATTAACAGTGATAAATTCCCAGTGTTTAGGTACGGTGGAAACGAGGAAGTTAAACGACACACAGGGTACAGGACACACTCAGACCTACTCATAGGAGGAACATGTAAAAGATCTGGGAATGACGATGTCTGACGACCTAACATTTAGTGAACATAACCGAGCAAGTATAGCGGCGGCCAGGAAAATGATAGACTGGATTATGAGAACGTTCAAATCCAGGGTTCTCTATGTAATGCTAATACTATTTAAATCACTGGTGCTGTCCCGTCTTGAGTACTGCTCGGTACTCTCTTCCCCTTACAGAGCAGGAGAGATTACCGAAATAGAGGGCATACAAAGATCATATACGGCGCGCATACACACGATAAACCACATAAATTATTGAGATCGTCTCAAAGTTCTCAAAATTCTCTAGAAAGAGGTACCAAATAATATATACATGGAAGATACTGGAAGGAAATGCAAAATAGCACCAGTGAGGAGTAAAGGTGCCATAGCCACAGAAAGCACTTTATGAACATCAGGGGACCTTCCCCCCCCCCCTGCAAGCATTAGAAATATTGCCGGAACCAAGGTGGACGTCTTCAAGAAGCAATTAGATAAGTTCCTGAAAGAAGTGCCGGATCAATCGGGGTTTAATGGATATGTGGACCTGCGGGCCGCACCGAGCAACAGCCTGTTGGACCAAGATATCACAAGTCGGGCTCGGGGAGTAGAACTCCCGAAACCTTCTCCAGGTATGCTCTAGGTATGAGTGTTGACTCGGGTAGCAGGAGAGCTGCGGTCCATCAAGTCATCAGCTGCGGTCCATCAAGTCATCAGCTGCGGTCCATCAAGTCATGAGCCAGGTATCAAGTCATGAGCCAGGTATCAAGTCATGAGCCAGGTATCAAGTCATGAGCCAGGTATCAAGTCATGAGCCAGGTATCAAGAGGCGCGGGCAGGTAAGAAAGACGGCAGGGTGCCCCACCTGAGAGTTAACATGCTGACAACACCAACAATAGCGTCAACAATGGCCGTGGCTGACACCAGACTCACACGTCTGACGAAACGCAAGACATTCCTCATTACCTCACACCTGCGTCTCCCCAGCTGGTCAGCGTAGGTGTGCTCTAAGTGTCAGGCACTCACTCACTCACTCACTCACGCAAAAGTCACAAGTGACAATCTAACAGGTGTGTGAGAACCAGAGGAGACACAAACAGGTGTACGACACACATGTGTGTGACGGTATAGACAACAGGAGAGCGAGACAGATAACAGGTGTGCTAGGTTTGGAGGGTGCCCAGGTGGGAGGGAAGAGGGTGCCCCAGGTGGGAGGGAAGAGGGTGCCCCAGGTGGGAGGGAAGAGGGTGCCCCAGGTGGGAGGGAAGAGGGTGCCCCAGGTGGGAGAGAAGAGGGTGCCCCAGGTGGGAGGGAAGAGGGTGCCCCAGGTGGGAGGGAAGAGGGTGCCCCAGGTGGGAGGGAAGAGGGTGCCCCAGGTGGGAGGGAAGAGGGTGCCCAGGTGGGAGGGAAGAGGGTGCCCCAGGTGGGAGAGAAGAGGGTGCCCCAGGTGGGAGAGAAGAGGGTGCCCCAGGTGGGAGGGAAGAGGGTGCCCCAGGTGGGAGGGAAGAGGGTGCCCCAGGTGGGAGGGAAGAGGGTGCCCCAGGTGGGAGGGAAGAGGGTGCCCCAGGTGGGAGGGAAGAGGGTGCCCCAGGTGGGAGGGAAGAGGGTGCCCCAGGTGGGAGAGAAGAGGGTGCCCCAGGTGGGAGGGAAGAGGGTGCCCCAGGTGGGAGGGAAGAGGGTGCCCCAGGTGGGAGGGAAGAGGGTGCCCCAGGTGGGAGGGAAGAGGGTGCCCAGGTGGGAGGGAAGAGGGTGCCCCAGGTGGGGGTGAGAAGGGGGGGAAAGGTAGTGGGGGGCGAGGAGAGAGCGAGAGGAGAAAGAGGAACTCGGTATCGAGTGGTTCTGTGAACCTGACCTCCCGGACACAGATAACTACATATATACAGATTTTAAATGAATGGTCACGTCTATGGTAGAAAATATACAACATAAAATCCTTTCAACCCCCCCCCCCCCTGTCTCTCTCATCACCCCTCCCCCCCCATATCTGTATCTCACCCCAGTACATCAAAAGCCTCCACCCGGGGTCTTACAGAGAGCGCCATCACCTCCTAGGTGCGCCTGGTGCTCCAAACGGCCTTCAAGCTCATTTTTCTGACCCCCAGGAACACCGTCCGCGGCAGCTACGCCACCAACGAGGCGTGTAATAATTGTATGTACAAACCCATAAACCCAATAATTGTATGTACAAACGGCCGACCGGGAGCCGGTCGGCCGAGCGGACAGCACGCTGGACTTGTGATCCTGTGGTCCTGGGTTCAATCCCAGGCGCCGGCGAGAAACAATGGGCAGAGTTTCTTTCACCCTATGCCCCTGTTACCTAGCAGTAAAATAGGTACCTGGGAGTTAGTCAGCTGTCACGGGCTGCTTCCTGGTGTGTGTGTGTGTATGGTGTAGAAAAAAAAGTAGTAGTATTAACAGTTGATTGACTGTTGAGAGGCAGGCTGAAAGAGCAGAGCTCAACCCACGCAAACACAACTAGGTGAGTACAACTAGGTGAATACACATACACATACACACTTTTACACTTTCAAAACAAATCAGAAAAAAGTAGACCTGATGTCACTAGAGAAAACGAAAGAGGAGACATGATAAAGACATCAAATAATTAAGGGGAACTGACAAAGTGGAAACAGAGATACTTAAATACAAGTGGAACAAGAGGCCATGGATGGAAGCTTAAAAATCAAATAGAAATTTGAAAAAAAGTCTTAGAAATGCTAGAAAGTTTGAATTTAGCACAAGAATACTGGTAAATGGAATGAATTAATTGAGCAGTTGTAGAAGTGAACTTTATTGAGCAGTTGTAGAAGTGAACTTTATTGAGCAGTTGTAGAAGTGAACTTTATTGAGCAGTTGTAGAAGTGAACTTTATTGAGCAGTTGTAGAAGTGAACTTTATTGAGCAGTTGTAGAAGTGAACTTTATTGAGCAGTTGTAGAAGTGAACTTTATTGAGCAGTTGTAGAAGTGAACTTTATTGAGCAGTTGTAGAAGTGAACTTTATTGAGCAGTTGTAGAAGTGAACTTTAATGAGCAGTTGTAGAAGTGAACTTTATTCATATTTTCAAAAGTAGGCATCAGAGGAATGAACCAGGTCTCATTACCCTAGACATCCTGCGGCTAGAAAGACGGGGCCCAAGAGCTTAAGCTCGATACTGCAGACAGATTAGTACATACATGCCCAGAAAGCAGCACACAACAGCTGTCTAACTCCCATGTACCTATTTACCATTAGGTGAACAGAAGTATCAGATGAAATGAAACCCCCTGTCCCAACGCTTCTGTTCGACAGCGTGGGTTGACGCCGCGTGTGTGCGTGCGTGCGTGGGTTGACGCCGCGTGTGTGCATGCATGCGTGCGTGAGGGTTGTGTGTGTCCGCGCGAGCGTTGAGGTGGTCCAACTAAGCAAGGGATGAAGGCGGGTGGGTGGAGGACACTGTGGCAGCATCCCAGGTGAGATGTGGGGGGGGGGGAGGGGGGAGTGTGCTGTGTCGGACGAGGGTGACTCACCACCTTGCTCTAGCTAAACATCTTACTCCACCCCCCTCGTCTAATACACACCAGACAGCTTACCACTACCACCACAACAACCACCACTAACAACCACCACTAACACAAACACCCAGGACAACCACCACCATCACCACCACCACAACCATTAGTGCCAAAGAGAGTTTAAACTACAAAGATATACATGTTAAGGGATCTGGACCTCACAACTCAGTAGCAGAGAAGAAACA